GATGAGGCCGTTCTAGCTCCGCTTTCGGTGAGTTTTTCTCATCCACTTGTGCCTTTGCGTTCGATGTTGGAAAAGTTCAACAAGTTGCAACCTAGCTCTTCAGGTGGTACGAAAACGTCTGTTAGTATGTGAACTTTTCACTTTATTACATTCTCATTTCGCATTTCTGAAAGAACGCCTTAGGCTTGCGTTCTTAGAACATTCAGTTGAAAGCGATGGAAACTTTGTAAGCATTTTTCGAAAAACTTAAAGAGAGCGGTGTTTTACAAACAACCTTTGCCTTATCAACCTTTAGTTTCCCAAAATATCACAAAAACGGAAACGTATTTATTTTATAGTCGGATTCGGACGGGATTTTCTTAACTCAATACAAAAAAGTGAAGTTTGAGATTTTCCGGCAAAAGCGTCACGTTAAGTGGGAGATGGGGTATTCTAGTTTGAAAGTTTTGGACTTGGTACACAGATTTAATTTAGATTCGGATTACTCCGACATTTTGCTAATTGAAAGTTAGAACACAATTGGAAAAAGTCTAGGTTGGTTTTACGCTTGGTCTGTCACTTACTAAATGTAAAACGAATGTAATTAACCAGGTACACTTCGTTCGCGTGTCGCTCTTTCTAATCAATTGTCATTTGGCTTAATCGTGTTCGTCTCTATTAATGATCTCGTGCTATAGCGATAAATAAAATAATTAGTTCTTATACGTTACTCGACTTCGCTTTCTCACTAACTTGTAGAACTCTATGCTATTTACAGGAACTCGTGTTGGATGGTTGCCATTCTAGAGGTCGTGGTCTCGTTGTTTACAGCTATCCCTGGGAGTAGTGGCTTTTCTCAGGCTTACTATTCTGGGGCACCGCCTCTGTCTCAGTACAACTCTATACTACAAACATCACCTCCAAAAACACTTCCGTATTTGTAGATGTGTTTAGGATTCATGAATTATCGACTTCAGACTAAGCGATGCAGGAAGTGCACGATACTACGGATATAATGCGGAAAACCCGAGTTCTAGGATATTCCTTTGGCAAGATGTCGATCGATTTATAATAGGCACCCGAACATCCGACGTAAAAGAATAAGCTCTTTTTTGAGATTAAAAAATGAGCTGTCGAATAACATACGCACTTAACACAAACTAGTTGATACATATTGTATGCTTTTGCTAGCAATTCCTTTGAAGCATTAATTGTTCCAGTAACCATCTGACTGACAGACAACAAATTAGTGCAAAATTTTTGGCACATAGTGTACGTTTTGGGTTGTTGCTGTCTCTGGTCGAATATTCCACAAAGTTTAATAAACGTTTCCAACCCCTTCAATTTTCATTCTTGAATTGAACGCATCGCTGTTAATGGTGCAACAAATGAAGACAGCAAAGTTTTCTCTTTAGATTTGTTTCGCAGTTCCTAGAATAATTTTCCGTACGCGCCTTTCAGCCGAGTCGCAATCCATCAAGCGAATTGAATTAAATTGTCGATACAGAGATATTCCTTACTTCAAACTATTATATTCATACACTACACACATTTTGCCATAAATCGCCCGGTGTTTTCACATCTCCAATGGAAACACTGATAGGTCACAAAGCATGGTTTGTTTTCCTCGCCTCGGTTACGTAACGCTACTAACACCCAGGTACGATCATGCAATTAATAAAAATGGCCACAGAGCCCCTTAATTAAGCGTTTTCAACAACAAAATCTGCGGGAGAAGCTAAATTTTCCACAATCTTAATTATCTTCATTTCGTCGAAATCTGAGGTTATATTGCTCCAAATTTTTATCTTGAACATTGAACATTATATTAAGTTGTTTTCAATAAATGCATTATTATTATTATTATTATTTCATGATTACTTTTAAGTTGGTGGGAGTGTTCGTAACACTACTGAGTGCCAACTTCAATTCATTAAGAGCCTATGTTATTTTTTAACGATTTAATTAACGTTAAAGAAGTTAGAAAATGAAAAACCATACATGCCATAACAGCACTAAGTAGTTCTGTACATGTTTCACTTAATTCGTGTATACAATATTTACACATGAGCAGCAATTTTATTCATGCATCATAATTAGGTACATATTTACCAATTGGGAACATGACAGGCACATTTTAACTTGTTTCATCAAGAACTAAAGAGAAGAAGATTTATTAACCGAGCTTGAAATACTAACCAAGTATACGTACTTTTGAAGATTTTCTACTACAACTTCATCACTGGTTGATACAAAAAAGGCGTTGAAGTTAATCGGCGGTCGATAACAAAGAAGCGAGAGATATTCCTTTCCCTTTCGAGTGTGTAATGCGATGTATGCTACGCAGCCATTGGTACTAAGAATGCGTTCGAAGTTAAGCGGCGGTCATTAACAAAGGGGCGATCTATGGAAGATGCGAGAAATATTCCTTCCCCTCTCGAGTGTATAAGGCGATCGATGCTAAGCAGCAATTGATACGCAAAAGGCGTTAGAAATTAAGCGGCGGTCGTTATCATCTTCATCTTCTTACCGTGGGCATTTCCACAAAATATAATTGTTAGTTGATCATTGTAGTATTCACATTGAGAGTGGTCGCCAGATTCTAGAACGTAACTGTACGACATTGCGATTCATTGCGATTGAGGGTGATGGGCTCTGTACGAATGATGGATGGTTGTAGGACGCGACGTTTCTTGAGCTCCGTATCGAGCAATTGTGCAGAGATCTCCCAGATAAGTACGGCATCATTGGTAAAGGTTTGACTGGATTATTAAAATTGGCATAGACAGAGGTAGCATACGAACGAGAATAGTGCTGGCAAAGGAGTAGACAATGCTTCCAAGGGATAACCGTAATCGATTGAGGGCTCTGTACGCTCTGAGCAGTACTTTTTTGTGTGCTAATAACCGCTGATGTGCTAGAGATTTCAAAATATTGAAACGTTTAGGGCAGTTTGACTTCATTTCTTGTATGCAATGAGATGGGAGTCGAATGTTAAGCCTAGAATTTTGTGCTGTACAACTAAATACTTGTAGCAGATTAAAGCTGAAGAAAAATCTCGGGACATAGTTATTGATTTTCCAACTGAAATTCAGGACTTTCGTCTTAACATGGGAGAAAGCGGATAGTGTAGGACTGAGGACGGATCCTTGCGGCAACCATTTTCCAAAGTAAATGAGTGTACTTATTCCTTGGACAATCACTTGCACCGTTCAATGAGATAGGACATTTTTCAGAAAAGCTAGTATGTTGCTTCTCAAGAGTGTCGGGTTGCCAGACAGTATCGAACGCCTTCTACATGTCAAGGAGTACAGTTATCACGTTATGTTTCCAATTAAGGGCACTGGAGATTTTTTTTTGCAGGGTTACTAAGTTGTCGGTGGTACTTGTATTCTAACTTGTAGTCATCCTTTTCCATAATTACTTCCATTTTCCAAACGGACGAACAGAGAACGTGACTGCAATAGCGGATCTAAATTCATTGAAAAATGTGCTAAAATTACGTTAGCATTTTTTCGCAAATAAATTCGACTAATGAATTGGAATCCATTTACAGAGAAATTCTAACTGTCTAAATTAAATCAAAATCTTGAACTCATCCATCTGCCTGCACCACCAGATCGATGTGACATTCTTCTCTCAGGACATCTAAAACTTCGACAGTTTCACCTTATCCCCTGCGTTAAGCGATGTTGCCATACCACGCCTTGTTGAAGGTGTTTCAGGAACAGCATCTAACGATGGGTCCAACGGCCTAAAACTGCAACTTTTAATGGGGGGGATTGTGATAAATATTGTTGTATAAACAACGTCATGTCGACATTATTTAGGCCTAAACACCGAACATAATGACTGGACACCCTGTATATGAGAAACATTTCAAATAATAAATTTATTTACGAAATGGGTTTATGTTCTGAACCTTATATCGTGCTCTGCGTCTCATTTGAAATAAGAATGAGCCATTAAAATGCACAATCATCTGTTTCACTTTATACCCTTGCAGTTAAAGGGATCACTTTATTTACCCTCACGGTTAAACAGCGACTTAGCCTACTCATTCAAACCTATTAAAGTGCCAATTTAACATATGCTACAAAATAAAAGGTTTTTATCTGGTTGTTCTGCGATAAGGGATGTTATCGGATGTAAGTGAATTAGCGCACTTCTTTGGTGTTGGTAACAAGAGATGCAGGTGGACATCGTTGTGTGCATTACTTTCGGCATTTCAGCTATTTATTTGGGCAATCCGCCCGATTTGATAGATCATTTTCATATTTTTATTTTTACAGAGAATGTTAATTTTAACATTTCTTTATTTTTAATTATCGACCGTTTTTAAGTTTCTTTTTATTTCAGGAATTTTGTTTTTATTTTCATTTAATTTGTTTCGGAATAAATGTTGGCATTTCAATCAATGAATAGTGCGTTTATTCGAACCCATTGTACGATCCGCATAGTCTATATAACTCTCGCCAGGAAAGATTGCCGGTCACAGCACACCTTGTGTCGATTTACAATCTTTGTTTTTATTAAGATGCGAGCGACTTCTGGAATAGGATCGTGCTAATGTTGAACAAAAAGTCTTTTCGTTCAACATTGACATGATACTATCTCGGAAGTCGCTAGCACTTAACGAAAAACAGAGATTGTAGATCGGGATCAAGTGTTCTGTGACCGGCAATCTTTCCTGGCGGGAGTTATATTAGATTTTTCTCTTCGTATTCAAGATTTACTTCAGATGTTGACCTGAATGTTGATAAAAATTTGCTAAATAAATTATTTGAAATTTCGGAAGCCGATCGAGGCCATTGAGTTTCCCAAATTTTAGTCAATGTGTGGATTTTTCTATGTAGCAGATGTCAGGTGGTGTAATTGATCGATGACCATACAGCATTATTTATTTGGCGCCTAACGTGAGACCACAGCAATATAGAGTCAAAGAAACGTTGTAGTACCTGGCAGCACCTCTAAGGAATGATTTCAAAAACTATAACAGATTTATTTTGAATTATTTCCTTTATTTAGAAGCTAATGGAAGTATTGGATAAAATTATTTCTTTCGTTTAGACTGAATTTGGATCATTAGAATTAACGAGAATGAAACGCGGCTTACACGTATGCTGTTATATTGGTCTTTTAAACATCGGCTATCGCAGGCAAAATTTTTTGGAAAACTTCAATTCCATCAATCAGTGCAGTTACGTTCATAAACTCATTGTCCTTGTGTGCTCTATTTGGAGTCCGTGGGTGAGGACAGAATCCAATGGTAGGTACGCCAGCACTTCGTAGGTACCGGGCATCAGAGGACGCATTCAACACTTTCTTCCTCACTGTAACTCCCCTGGAACAGAGCATTAAAGTCAAACGCTCAAAAATGGGAAGCTCACATATTAGTTGTTACATTCCCGAAAGCAACCCAAAACGGGTTACTGTCATCAAGTTGAGTGGACGGTGCGTGGTCGTCTACTGGGAAATCTTCAACCCAAACACCACCCCCTGACCTTTTACACCATTCGCGTACAGTGTTTTCAAACTGTTGTAAGTCTCTACCTGGTGGAACTCTGGCATCAAAGGTGAGAACAAACTCCGATGGAATTACGTTTGCTTGTACACCACCCTGAAATCACCTTAACTAAATTAGCTACATAACGTCACCTACCCCCATCATAGTCAGATTAATCGAAACGACGTCATCGGCTTCTCCAGTTTGGCCCACTTTCAAATTTTCAGCCTCTCGTAAGTTGTAACAGTATTTCAATATGTTAGTCATCTTCTCTCCGGCGGTATTACTCAACAAAAGGCCACCATGACCACCCTGGCCAGTGCAGTGAATGCTCAGACCTGTTTAAATGATCTTTAGACGTACGAAAAGCAGGATACATACGTCTAGACACTTTTTCTCCGTAATAAACCCAGAACTCGTGTTCGTCTGGAATGCCTTCGTCCATGGCGAAACCAACTCTTAGCTTTTCGAAAGCTTCACTTTTGACAAATACTTTCATACCGTCAGTCCCGCCCAACTCCTCGTCAGGAACAAATGACACGTGTATAGTTCTGCGTGGTTGATAACCAAACCTTTTTAAACGTCGGATGGCCTCCAAGTACTGTATACCTAAGGATTTAACGTCTTGAGCACCACGGGCGTGAATGTTGCCCTCTTCGTCGATGTCCGCAGAGAATGGTTTGTGAACCCAATTTTCCTGTACCGTTTAAGTTAGTCTGTTGACGAAGACACTTATCCTCACCTCAAATGCTGGCACGACGTCCATATGGCTGTTAAGTAGGATGGTAGGTATGTTAGCGTTTTTTCCAATCCACGTCATTACTACGATGGGCTTCTTTGGGACAATCGTAATTACTTGACAATCCAACTGCAAGTCATTCGCCAATCCCTGGAGAAACTTGACGCATTCATCTAAAATAGGAACGTGAGCCGCGCTGTTTAAGGGTCTTGAAGCTACCGTAATTCACGTTGGGGTGGACCGTAGGTATTCGTAAGTATTTTCGGAAATTGTCGATCGCGATTTGGTCTAAATCTCGATATGGGTTCATTCTGAAATGCGAGTACTCAAGGATTGAATAACATCATACAGACGATTTCAGGATGTGGTTTAGGGTATGGTTTGATAGTGCATGCAAACACGACTGTTTATCACTACAATGCATTTCGTATCGATTGTCCACAGATACGGAATAGCCTTGTTGTTGAGAAATGCGATTTTAGTTCTGGAAAACACTGAATTCTCTTAGTCGTGGAATATTTATTTTGAAATTTAAGAAAACATCGTTTAGTCAAATGGGAACGGAAGTTAATAGCATTTAACTTACCCTTTCAGTTTCCTCTGTTAGTAGCGTTCTTTTATGGACCTTTCAAAACGTAAAAGTTTTAAATTACGTAAATATTTACACACCGAAAATGTTCATGATGGAATATACGTTAGACGTCCACAAGCGCATTATAAAGGAGATATAAGTATGGCTGAACTGGCATTTTACGATTTATCACTTCATATGTAAATTTTAATGGAAAAGGATTTTCCACATTAAAATACATCTCGTTTCTAATGCAAGGAATATTTTCAAAGTAAACCAAAACTAAAACGTGGGACACGTTTTTATGTAAATTTAACCGCATTAATGCAAGCAACATGCTGCTGATTTTTTTTTTTATTAAATTCGTGAAATGTAGATCGCTACATAAATAATATTCATAAACTACTGATATTAAACATCAGTCTGTGACCGAGTATGCTTATGTTATATTAACGTCCCCTCTCCTTGTAGAGACGTGACACAACCAGAACAAGAAATAATGGTGACCAATACATGAATATTATGTTTAGAAGTGTACCGCTTCATAGTAAAAAAGAAGAAAATTAAAACGCGATAGAATGAAGCGCTTTCCGATAAGAAATGAGTGTGCAAGCAGATAAGACTCAAAACACCACAGCGTTTCCGGTTCTCAAGAGAGAGGGACCGACTTTCTGCTATACCTTTACATGTATTAAAAACGAACCTTAGTTTTTTGACTCGACGGCTACATACGGAAGAATTGGGCGAGAGTGAGAGATTCTTCCCAGAACCTTCAAGGTGAGACTATGTAAGTCGTGTGCGGGATTTTAGATCGCGTAATATTTATTTCCAATTGAAGGTTTCAAGAGGAATCCGTACTATCGGGATAGTGATATTTTTATCGTGAGTGTTGAAATTAATTGCCGCATTACAAGGGAAAATTGTGCGGCTAATTCGTCAAAATTATTGTCGTGCGTGCTGTCAAATTCTTTGTACATGTAAAACTACTATAAAGTGGTGTATTTATGCAAAAGAGGAACTTCGTTGTGTAGAGGAATAGACGGGTTGGCTGATTTAGTTTGTACTTGCGAATGAGTTGCATCCTCGACACTTGAGCGAATATTTTCGTTTTGGTTGCATTATTTGATCAGCATGATCGCGTTTAAATAAATTTTACCACGAAAGCATTGGGATCAAAGGTACAGAAATTTCATGTCCTTTATACTACTGTCGTTAGTTATGATTTAAAAAAGTTTATTAACGAAATTTGTGCTCCTCTCTTGTACATACGGAGAGATAATAATAATCTGGATTAAACGGGAACCGGTAAAAAATTTAAAGACGATCAATTAGTGCTTTTACTACCCTAAGTGTACAAGCGGAAAATTCCCCAAATCTTAACGAAACACACATAAAATAAAGAGCTGTTTGGCGTAGATCTCTAGAGAATCCCTCTTGGCGAAAAAAAATACCCTAGCGCAGGCTATTGGTATGTGTAGTCTCGTATCTTTACAGGAGATTTCTAGACAATTGGATCTACAGTTCGTCCCATATTAGGTAGTTTTAAGCCCACGCTTCAAAGACTCGGCATTTCACCAGGTCAACGATATTAGTTGAGAAGTTGTGTGGGCCATTCTCTCCCTTTTTGTTGCAGTAACTTCTATCATTTTCCTTTATATCAATTCTGCGTTTCACTGGTTGCTCTGTTTGTAGATACAGGTTGGTCTAGTAATTGTCTACCCATATGCAGCTGAGTTTGATGGTGTAAGTTTATCACCTAACAAACATGCACAACCTTTTAACAGTGATTGGTCTACAAGATTTACCTCTAGTTTTCCTTTGCCATGTTATTTGAAGATGCATCTTCCAGATAAATGTTCACCGTAAAAACGTAGTTTAGACGATGGTTAATTTTTGTTTTGTTAAATTCTAAAGAAGTTACCTGTTATGAGATAATGAAGATATCGAAATTATTTGCGTAATACTTGAAAAGTTTATCTCATGTTTTTTCTTCGGTCGTAGATAAGGGTTGCGCTTATCGCTAAAAGTTAATTAATTTTGTAAACAGATATTGGCGCAGGTGCGTAGATGAAATCATTTTTGCGTATTTGAACTAAAAAATACGGAAGTGGAATCGAATATGAAACAAGAGAGGGAAATGTGTTAAATAGCAGAGGAAGTGTTGTAATGTGGCGTTTTGCCTTTCGCTGTTCTCTTTTCGCCTTGGGTCGTGTGTGTAAAGTTGCGGCCGCTGCAGTGCTTTGGTCCTTGGGTGGATCCGGACCTCCATTTGCTGGCGCCGTGCTCCCACATTCTCGGTTTTCGGATGTTAGTTCAAATGGTCAGTTTGTGTAACTATACGTTTATTGAAGAACATTAGTTAGTGGATTAAGAGATTTTAAGCACGCCGTCTTCAATTTAATAGTCGACTTCGAGTTAAAGAGGAGGAGTAATACTTCTGCCCCACATAAAATAATCTATGTTCCAGTAAACTTCCATTGCACAATAACTTCTGCATCCGTCCAGAGATTTATTTCAAATGTTATAGGGTGACGTATTTATTTAGGCGCTATAAGAGAATACTCATTGTTTGGACTAGAATTCTTTGTGTAAATATTCAATTTGGATGAAAGCTTTTAATCCATTGTCTATTTTATGTTATGTAAGCGTAAGACTTCTAAAATAAGAGACTACATTATCAACAATCATCAAATGTTTCCATGTACTGAATACGTTTCCTTGTTTCTTTGAGCTTGAATACATAAAAAGTGTACCTACCCAAAATATTGAATGAAGCGAATAGCGGGTGGTCGCTTAAGACGAACCTTAATTTTGATCAACATAGGGAAATTTGCGCATGTACCGCTTCATACAGAACATGAACGAAGTGTCTGGCGACAGCAACGTGTACATTTTCTATAAAAGAAAACGGTGCGAGATAAGCGAAGAGACACCGGATTGTAATGGTTTTTGTCGGCAAAGTTACCATTTGGGCGCGTTAAAAATGATATTCAAACGCTAATTAACAAGCGATCACGCACACTTTTTTGTGGGCGATTTTTTCAATCGTTGATTTTTGCGAACCATCGCCTCACCTTTAAAGTGCAATGAAGCTAAATTCTCAGCTATATATAATAAAAGCAGGTGCCCACCATTTTGTTTACGAGAGTATGTCTGAATATTCAAGAACCAGCATGTGCATTCATTGAGTGAAATTGATCAGAATGGTAATAAAGAATTAACAGTTTAACTTCGGGTAAATATCGAAAGGTCAAATAAACCGCGAAGAAACATTTAAACAAATTCGGGTTGGTGACAAACTGCGAGTTACCTGCAATTTTATGTGTACGCGAAGAAATAAATTACAGTAAATTCCCGAGAGGAAACCAATTTCGTGAATTCCGAGACGAATGAAAAAATTGTCAACAATTCGATTCGTGGCAAGGTCGTTCATTTTACGCGAAGGAACATTTTCGAGTTGGCGAATGGCTTTCAAAACCAAACCGCAAGTCAAACTGAGCTCATAACAGAAACGATTTTTTCTCAAATTGCGAACGGTTACAAAGTTGAGTGACACTTTGGACAGGGAATTATGCGATACATAAAATTATGTATACAAATACCGTTTAGTCAAGTTGGCTGGGCGTAACTAGTTATTTCTCTAATCGCTCGGTTAATTAAGTAGCACAGTTTCTTTGTCGGAAACAATAAATAGCAACACATTATTAATTGTATAACAGTTTTGGGTATTGTCGAATGGATATTGCCAACAACCAGATATAAGACTTTTAGCGTTGATTGTAGAACGCTTAAGGTCTTTTGTTATTGGGGATAGGTAAGAAATGGAGAACGGAAGAAATGAAAAAAATACATGAATTAAAAGGCGTTTGATGGAAACTGCTCTATTTTATGTAGATCCTGGTATATATTCTGATGATGATGGTATATCGCCTTCTTTGCGGAGAGATTTATGTAAAAAAGCAATAAATCGCCCCTCCGCCGATGAACAATGGCAGTGTCTATTTTATTAACCTACCGAACAGCAGGTGGGACGTATTTTCGCACCATGCGGCCTATTGTCGCTGATTTTCTTATTTATAGTCTTTTGTTTTTAACGCTCTACAACCTTACAACAAATCAGTTAAACTAAATTCTGTAAATAATGGAATTTTAAAAAAGCTGAGGGAATTACGCGTGGGGTGAAAAATAAGTGCACTTAAGAGGTTTTGACTCTTTAGCTCCAGTTGTAGAGAAAGTATTGTGAAGGTACAATACGTTTGAAAAGCACTTCACACTCGAGAAACTGTGTTTTTTCAAACTTCAAGTACAATCGATGATGTATTTACTTCTCCAATGCACGAGATATTTTTCCACGATTTTCAAACTTAAATTTTCCAATTATCTCTTGTATTCACTGTCCCATAGTGAAAACTCCTTACAAGGATTCATATCAAATCTGAACAAAGAAAAAGTTATTAAGTTCCATAGGGCTTCGGGAAAGCTCTCATATTTCTTCTTGAATAGTTGAGATCTAGCAGTGTAGGCGTGTGTATCCGACTCGTAAAAGAAAACTTCATGTAATTAAATAAGCGAGCAACAAGGGTCGATAAAGTTAGATCCTCGCAGTGAATAAGTTTGCATCGTGCATAAATGATGCGCGTCGCTAGATAAATGGGGGAAATTTTCAACCTTTTTTTTGTAAATGTGTAAAGGATGCTACTGCCATTAATTTTGATCTAACATGTTTAATCTAGCGTATGCAGTCACCGTACTTCTTTATACGGATTTATGGAACACTTTAATAGTAGGGGAAATGCGTGATATAGTCATATTACGTTTGGTGACGACCGCCGGTCACTACCCTTATCCTGCTGTGCTCCTACGGAGGAAATGAAAAAAAATCCCATATCACGCATTCTGTTTATCCCTTTCCTTCCGTAATTCACTTAGACTCTTAATTTCTCTTTAATCCTTATTAGCGTTTCATTATAGCTAAACCAAATCATTAAAACGGGCGCATAAGCGAAGACCAATAAAAGCATCGTAATTTACTAATGGCAATAATTTAGCATTTCGTTAAACGCGGCTAATTTCATTTTCTGAACTAATTGCCGAATTTCGACTTGCCGGTAGAACATAATTAGAATCGCAAATCAAACTGAAATCCACATTCGA